TCTTCCCCCCCCCCCCTTTCCTTCCCCCCCTCCCCCTACTCCCCCAGTTCAGCCCACTCACCCCTGCTCAACCCCTTTATCCCCCCAGGCATGTCCCCCATCCTCTGCCACCCCAGTTCCCGCGCAGCCGGGCACCGTGAGGCTGGGCAGCTGCCTGCCCATGCCCTGCTGACCCCACCCCACGTCCCACCAACAGGTTCCTGAGTGCCCTGGCCGTGCTGGCTGAGCGGCCAGAGCTGGTGGAGAGGGTGATGATCACCAGAACCCTGTGTCCCGAGGGTGCCTACCAGGTGAGGCTCTGCAAGGACGGCACCTGGACCACGGTGCTGGTGGATGACATGCTGCCCTGCGACGAGTGCGGGTACCTGCTCTTCTCACAGGTCAGTGGGTCCAGGGGGAACAGGGCTGCTGGGGTGGGTACTTCGTGCTCCAGGGGCAGGAGGAGGCTCTTCCCAGGCTCTCCCAGGAGAGAGGATTGATGGAGGCAGTGGGAAGAGGTTCTGCTGTGGTTGGTCCCGCACTGTGCTGCACTGGGTGTTTGCAGCTCAGGACTCTGCTTTTTGCTGCACCTTCAGGACAGGCCTTTTCACCTGAGGAGAAGGACTTGGGGGTGATGGTGGATGAGAAGCTGAACATCAGCCAGCAGTGTGTGCTTGCAGCCCAGAAACCAACCCTGTCCTGGGCTGCATCAAAAGAAGTGTGGCCAGCAGCTCAAGGGAGGAGGTTCTTCCCTTCTATTCTGCTCTCGTGAGGCCCCATCTGAAGCACTGTGTCCAATTCTGGAGCCCCCCAAGAAGGACACAGAGCTCATGGAGTGAGTCCAGAGGAGGCCACGAAGAAGACGTGACTGCTCTGGAGCCAGGCTGGGAGAGTTGGGGTGTTCAGCCTGGAGAAGAGAAGGCTCCAGGGAGACCTTAGAGCACCTTCCAGTGCCTGAAGGGGCTCCAGGAAAGCTGGGGAGGGACTTGGGACAAGGGCAGGGAGGGAGAGGACAAGGGGGGAATGGATTAAAAGTGGCAGAGGGGAGATTGAGGTTGGACATGAGGAGGGAATTCTTTGGTGTGAGGGTGGTGAGAGCCTGGCCCAGGTTGCCCAGAGAAGCTGTGGCTGCCCCATCCCTGGCAGTGTTGAAGGGCAGGTTGGATGGGGCTTGGAGCAACCTGGGCTGGTGGGAGGTGTCCCTGCCCATGCAGGGGGTTGGAACTGGATGATCTTGAAGGTCCCTTCCAACCCAAACCATTCCATGGTTTTATGACAGCTGAACTCTCAGGCCATAATGTAGCTCTTTTTAGATCCCTTTTGGCATTTTCCAAGCTGTGATGAAGAGGTTTCATTTGCTTTCCCCTCACTCCTCCCTGCACCACAGCCCCTTCTCTTGCAGGGGAAACCGTCCTCATTCTTCACAGCAAAAGGAAAATATTTTAACCCATGTTTGGCCCTGCCAGGGGCTGAGGCAAAGCTGTTTCTTTCCTCTGCGGGGAGGTCTGGCAGCTTGGCTTTGCCAGGGAGGGACCGTGGAGAGGGAAACAACTCAGGCTGTTGCCAGGCAGTGCCCAGTTGCTCTGAGCACATTTGTGTGGCATCTGCTGGTACTGGGGAAGTGGCTGAGCTGGGGACTGAGCCTTAGTCCTGCCCTGCCTGCCTGCCAGGCCCCGGGGCACTGGCTGGGATAATCTCCATGAAGGAGACTCAGAACGTCTTTATTGAAACTCAGGCAGTGAAATCTGCCAAACAAAACCTGGTGCTGCAGTTGGGAGGGGACAGGGACCTGGGGCTGCTGCCTTGGGACTTAGGTACCTCCTGATCTTCCCTTTGAAAATACAGCCCAGCCTCAACTGCGCCATGTGTCCCAGCCAGGACAGGAGGCCAGCTGGGGGAAGGAGACCTGAAGATGAGTATTTGAGGAACCTTCATGTTGGTACAGCTTGAGTGGGCTTGGTAGCCCCTCTGCAGGGTGGAGGTGGCCCAGTCCTGGGGAGCTGCTAAAGTGCCTCCAGGCCAACAGGCAACACTCCTGGCACGAAGGGCTCCTGAGCCCTGGCTCTGGGGACAGGGTCTGGGCAGGGCTTGGCACTGCCAACCTTCCTGCTCAGCAGAGTGGCCCCCCCAGGACCACCAAGTGGGGAAAATGATTTCCAGTGCTGCTGGAAGCCCATCCTGTTAAGGAGAAACTTTGGAGGGGGGAAGAAGGAGAAAACTGTGTCAACGTCTGCCTCAGAGCAGGCAGATCAGATCCGCTCAGATGCATTATTTTCAGCCTCAGCTTTACCTGGTTTGGTCATTTTTATTTTTTTTTTCCATTTGTCTTTTGTCTCTCACAAACTTCAAGTCTGCTCTGTTGTTTTTTTTCTGAAGATTGAAGGTTTTCCCACTGCCTGGTCTTGCCTTCCCCTTTCTCCCAGGGCCATCTGAATGAGGACAAGATTTTTCCTGCCGAGTGGTTGGCTGTGTGAGTTGGATGTGGGGGCTGAAAGTGGACAAGCAGAGTTTTAAAACTCAAGGCAAATCAGGCTGTTGTTAGAGCTCCCTGGCTGCAGCGCAGGCAGAAATAAACAACACGGGTTTTGTTGAGTGAGGGATTAAAAAAGCAGTGGAAAGCACTTGTAAGTTTTCTTGATCTATCCAAAACGAATCTTCCCTGCCTGCCTTGCCTCTCCCAGCTCTCGGCTGCCACCTGCGAGTCACACAGTCACTGTGTCCCTGGGTTCAGCCTGGAGAAGAGAAGGCTCCAGGGAGCCCTTAGAGCACCTTCCAGGGCCTGAAGGGGCTCCAGGAAAGCTGGGGAGGGGCTTGGGACAAGGGCAGGGAGGGAGAGGACAAGGGGGAATGGATTAAAACTGGCAGAGGGGAGATTGAGGTTGGACATGAGGAGGAAATTCTTTGGTGTGAGGGTGGTGAGAGCCTGGCCCAGGTTGCCCGGGGAAGCTGTGGCTGCCCCATCCCTGGCAGTGTTGAAGGGCAGGTTGGATGGGGCTTGGAGCAGCCTGGGCTGGTGGGAGGTGTCCCTGCCCATGCAGGGGGTTGGAACTAGATGATCTTGAAGGTCCCTTCCAACTCTAACCATTCTGTGATGCTATGATTCTCCCCTGCTGCCCTTCGAGCCCCAGGTTCCAAACCCAACTTGCTGGAGATGCACAAGCCAGCAATGGTCTCCCTGCCCTCTGTCCTCCTGTGCCTTTCTCCCCACATCCTTGCTGCAGGCAGGAGCTGGAGCAGAGGTGTCTCCCCCCCATCCTCAACATCCCAAGGACAAGGGGCAAAGCCTAGCAGTTAACTGCACCCTCTGACACTCCAGGGACCTGCAGTGGTGACTTGGATGCCATGGCCACATTGCTGTGACCCATGGAGGTTTGCAGCCCTTTGGGTACATCAGTGTAGCTGCTGCATTTCTTTCTGACTCCCAGATCAGCCTAGTGATGCCAAGAGCAAAGCAACTCCAGGCAGAGTTTCCCCTGAAAAGCCTGCAGCTTCTCATTACATCCTCTCCCTGTCCCTGTCCTGGAGTGGAGGACTTTGTCTGCCTGGGAGATTTTGGAGCTTGTCCTTCTGAAACAACATCTCTGATCCATGGGTGAAATCTAATCTTTCCCATGGCCATGTATGGTTTAGGCAGCCAAAGCTGTGTTTTGGTTTCCAACAGTGTGCAAGTGAAAGGCAGCTGTTCCAGATGTGCTCACTGTCCTTTTCTATTACTAAACCTTTTTAAATCCAGGTTGGAGCAGAGGGAAGGGATGGTTGGCTCACAAGGTGGGCACCCACCCTGCCAGCCCGACTGCCTGGGCACCCCAGGGTGCAGCCCTGTCACCACCCAGGCCTCTTGGACCTTCACTCCAGGAGGGTTTCCCAAGGGGAATTAAACTGTGGAGACAAAACACTGAGCAGGAAGCAAACAAGGTCACCCTTGGCCTCATGCAGACAAGCTCCTGGTGGCCTTGCTGCTCCTGCCCCTCGTCCCCCAGCACAGAGCGGGGTCTGGCAGGGGTGGGTGAGCAGGGCTTTGCCTTCACTGCCCGTGCTGCTTTTGCTGTCCCATCTCCTGCCCGTGGTGGCTGCTGACATGTCTCTCCCTCTCTCCCCAGGCCCAGAGGAAGCAGCTGTGGGTTGCCCTCATCGAGAAGGCTCTGGCCAAGCTCCACGGTTCGTACTTTGCCCTCCAGGCCGGGCGCGCTATCGAGGGCCTGGCTACACTGACGGGTGCCCCCTGCGAGAGCCTGATGCTGCAGGTCAGCTCCACTAACCCCCGGGAGGAGCCCATTGACACTGACCTCATCTGGGCCAAAATGCTGAGCTCTAAGGAGGCTGGGTAAGACCAGGCAGGAGGATGCGGTGGCAGGAGTGTGGGTGCTCGGAGAGGGGGGCAATGGGGGGCTCGTTTATAGAGGCTCAGAGGAGAAGGGCAAGTGCTTTAGCAAGGGTGGAGACCACCACGTGTGGCTTCACCCTGGGGTGCTGGCAGAGCTCCCCCTCTGAGCTCCAAGAAGTGATTTTGCCTTTGTCTAGTTTTCATATGAAATGGAAGTCCTGGTGAACTTCGCTGTGCATGGTCAGTGCTGTCCTGCAGGAGTTCTGAGCTGGTTGGCACTGACCCCGCTTGCTTTGCTTGGAGGTCTTCTGGATTGTTAGGTGCTTGACCCTGCACATACCTCTCATCCATCCGTGGCATCTATAGGCAGTCTCCAGGAGACAAAGCAAAAGCAAAGACCTCTCCTGACTCCAGCAGGAGGGCAGTTAGGTTCCTGGGCTCTGCATGGTGGAAAACAGGGATTTTTGTTGGCATGGCTGAAGGCAGGGTTGCTCCTGCCAGCCTGCAGGACGGGGCCACATGAGATACATCCCAGCACATGTTGTGATCCCAAGCCTGGCTGGTGCACCCCACATAGCCTGTCCTCACCCTGTGGGATGGCCTGGGAAGGGGCTGTCCATGTGGCTGAGCCAGCCAGCAGGGACAGGCAGGACCCTGGAGGCTGGCAGAAAACAGGAGAGGCTTGGGCAGAGGTTGGGTGGAGCCTTCAGCCCTGCAGGTGAGGGCACTGCACAGAGAAGCTCCCCACAGAGCCTGGGCTCGAGCAGGTGTGGGTGGAGGGAGCTCAATGCTGCCCAAGCAGAGCTGGTGGGGCCAGAGCACCGCTCCAGGGAGGGTTATGATGTGGTTGCAGGGAGGGAATATCCAGGAGCCTCCTGGAGAGGACGTCTGTCCCGTGCCCAGCCTGGCAGGACACTGAGGATCTTGCTGTTCCCCGTGCAGGTTCCTCATGGGTGCATCCTGTGGGGGAGGCAACATGAAGGTGGATGATGTGGCCTACGAGAGCATGGGCCTGCGCCCGCGGCACGCCTACTCCATCCTGGACGTGAGGGACGTCCAAGGCTTCAGGTGAGGGCAGGGTGGAGGCTGGTGTGGTGCAGCAGTTGTTCCTGCCAACCCCGAGTGTGTGCTGGACAAGACCTCAGGGACTCTGGTGTCCCATCCTCATGGCCAGCAAGGGCTGTTTCTCCACCCCAGGGTGTCACTTAAATGCTGTTGTCATATAAGCTTCATGTCCATCTAAGTTTCAAGTCCAGGGCTGCTCTGCTCCAGGACACCCTGTGGTCCTGAAGAGTTTGCTTGGTCTTCTCACAAGATGCAGAGGATGGAGTTGAGCTCTTTCAACTCAATGAGGCCATCAGGGCTTCCTCCTCATCCCTAGAAGGTGGGGGGATGGAGAGGGGTGCAGCCCTGACACCCTGGCTGCCATCTGCAGCCCCCTTTTCATCCTGTCCCTCCTGGGCTTGTGCAGCTCTGAGCACACACTTGCGGCCCCTTCCCTGCAGCACCAGCTGGAGTTCCTTGGGCAGGGAAGAGCAGAGGGAGCTGCCACAGGTCCAGGGCTGCAGGACCTGGGCATCTGGGGTGACAGCAGGGGTGACAAATTAGGTCTGGGATGTTGTGAGAGCTTTGAAAAGCAGGGACAGAATCACAGACTGGTTTAGGTTAGGAATGACCTTAAAGCTCATCCAGTCCCAACCCCCCTGCATGGGCAGGGACACCTCCCACCAGCCCAGGTTGCTCCAAGCCCCATCCAACCTGCCCTTCAACACTGCCAGGGATGGGGCAGCCACAGCTTCCCTGGGCAACCTGGGCCAGGCTCTCACCACCCTCACACCAAAGAATTTCCTCCTAAAGTCTCACCTCAAGTGGTGACCTGAAGTGTCTGACCAGGTGCCCTCTGCGGGGGGCTGGCTGGGTCTGCAGAGCTGGCAGAGCATCTCAGAGATGATCTTCCTGGTGCTCTCCTGCCTCCTGGGCCTGTGACACTTGGTTTGTTCCCCTTTCCCCCAGGTTACTGCGGCTCCGAAACCCCTGGGGCCGCTTCTCCTGGAACGGCAGCTGGTCGGACGAGTGGCCACACTGGGCCACTCCGCTGCGGCACGACCTGATGCCCCACGGCAGCAGCGAGGGGGTCTTCTGGATGGAGTACAGTGACTTCATCAAGTAAGGCAGTGCCAAGCCAGGCAGGGGACACAAGATGGGACACCAGGGTGGGGAGGGGGCAGGCAGGGCTGGGCACCCCCGGGGTGGGTGCAGGTGACCTCCCGGTACCCTCTGCCCCCACCTGCGGCGCGCTGGGGGCAGAGCAGTGCCCCCACAGAAGGCCCCAGCAGGGCTGAGCCTCCTTTCCCACAGGTATTTTGACTCCGTGGATATCTGCAAGCTCCACTCGGACTGGCACGAGGTGCGTGTGCAGGGCATGTTCCCCAACAAGGCCAACGGGCCGGTGACGGTGACGTCCCTGACGGTGCTGGAACGCGCCGCCCTGGAGTTCGCCCTCTTCCAGGAGGGCAGCAGGTGAGCTGGGCACAGGGACCCGGGCCCAGGAGAAACCCCAACCACATCCCCATCTCATCCCGTGACATCCCAGGGGGTGGCAGAGTGCGGGAATGAGCACCTGTGGGAAACTGTTCTTCTCTTCCCCACATCAGTCTAAACGAAATGCCTTTTAAGCCAGCGAAGGCCTCTCCTGATGATTCCCAGCTAAGGGACTAAACCAGACTTGCTTCCCAAGGACAGCTGAACCCAAAACAATGGATGTGGTGCGGGACAGAAAGGATGGACCACAAGCCATCCTGTGCCCCTGGTAGTCACCACCCATCACCATTTCTGTGGTTCTTAGAGTCTGCTCATGTTTTAGCCGAGTCCCTGAGTGCCTGGTGGTTCCTGGGGCCCTGGGGCAGCAGGAGGACCCTCCTCTGGATCTGCCATCCTGCCCGTGGCCTCCACGTGCTCTGTGACGGTGCTCGGGTGACGTGTGCCCCTTCTCCCCGTCCCCAGGCGGTCGGACACAGTGGACAGCCACCTGCTGGATCTGTGCATCATGGTGTTCCGGGCCACCTTCAGCAACGGGAACAAGCTGAGCCTGGGCAGGCTGATGGCTCACAGCAAACGGGCCGTCAAGAAGTTCGTCAACTGCGACGTGATGCTGGAGCCGGGCGAGTACGCCGTGGTGTGCTGTGCCTTCAATCACTGGAGCACCACCCTGGCAGGCCCCGCCACCGCCCAGGGTAAGGGCCCTCGGGGGGGAGGAGCCTTCCATCCTCACCGTGGGGATCTTGCTGGGGGTGGAGGTGCTGTGCCCAGCTCCTGGGGTTTGTGAGCTTGGTGACAGTCTCGCTGATCCCTTCTTCCTCCCTGTGTCTCCACAGCATCCAGTCCCACCAGCAGCCGTGCGGCCACCGATTATTCCAGCTATATCCTGGCCATCTACAGCTCCCGCCTGGTGATGGTGGAGCAGGTGGAGGCACAGCCCACCACGCTGGCTGATGCCATCATCCTGCTGACTGAGAACAAGGGCGAGCGCCACGAGGTGGGTGCGGGTGGCACAGGGTGGAGGGGGGTGTTGCTGCCAGTGGGAGCCTGGACCCTGCGTCTGCCCTGTCTGGCAGGAGATGGGCAGGCTGTGCCAGCTCTGGCTGCCCCCTCGTCCCCTCCTACACCATGGATGCCCTTCCCTTTGCTCCCCGGGGTACCTCAGCAGTTGGGCAACCCTTGGCTGGAGGTGGAAGATGCTGGTCTGGAGAGGGGGACTGAGATCTGAAGGCAAGGGTGCTTGGAGGCTTCTCTCCCCTGACCATGCTGTTTGCCCCAGGGCCGTGAGGGAATGACCTGCTACTACTTGACACACGGCTGGGCAGGGCTCATCGTGGTGGTGGAGAACAGGCACCCCAAGTCCTACCTGCACGTCCAGTGCGACTGCACCGACAGCTTCAACGTCGTCTCCACTCGCAGCAGCCTCAAAACGCAGGACAGCGTCCCCCCCCTGCACAGGTCTGGGGTAGGCAGGGCTGGGGTGGTGGGAGCTGGGGGGTCTGGTCACCCCAGGGGAGCTTGGAGCAAGGCAGAGCCTGGGGGAGGTGTGTGGGCAGAGGGTGGGTGCTGAGGGGAGAGTGGTCTGGCTCTCAACCCCCCCTCCGTCCGCTCTCTTCACAGGCAGGGGCTGGTGATCCTCTCCCAGCTGGAGGGTAACGCTGGCTTCTCCATCACCCACCGCCTGGCCCACCGCAAGGCCACCCAGGCCTTCCTCAACGACTGGATGTCAACCAAGGGCACCCACAACCCGCTGCTCACGCCCGAGGTGGCCGGGCTGCACGGCCCCCGGCCCCCCTGCC